CCCAGGTAACCTAAAATACACTGACATAGGTACAGATGGGCACAGACACACTCATACCTGTTGACAGGCTCTCCTATCAATTATGCTGTCAAACGCTGTCCCAAAGAGATGTATCTATAAGCTACAGTACAATATGCGCCCTCTAATGACAGTAAACTTCCTCTGTCATGACCCTCCTGACAGAAACCTCTACTGTCCTCTACTGTTACTGTTAGCACCATTACATTTCACAAACTTCTCCATTCTTACTTCACACTTTACTTTTCACATTAAGGGTAATTAGAAAATAAATGGTTCTGAAATTTGGTGCTGTGGATGGCCAAAACATTTCTCATTGTATGTTTCCTTGTTTACACTTTTTTCTTTTGTTTTGTTACTGTCAAAAGCATGTTAAGTGTTCAAAAAGCGTTATATTATAATTGAGTAACCGCATCTCGTGATAAATAAGTGCATTATTAGCATTACAGTTATATTAATAATAAATATTATGGCCTGTTTGTAACATATTTTGGAATTACCCTTTACTAACGCAGTTTGGACACCTGGCAGGTCTTTAAAAATGATGAGTCTCTGAGTCTGAGCTCACTCCGCTTGTAAATGTAAACATGATGCTTTTTTTGGATCGTGTTTGTTTTGCTTTCAATTTATTTCTCATGTGGCGCCTTGTTGGAAATACAGTCTCAAAAATTACCTCATTGCGATGTATTTCACGCGAGTGTCCAGACTTCTTTCAAAGTATAGATGGTAAATTAATCCTCATCAGTGCCAATTCATACTGTATATCCGTAATTTCACTTGGTTATTTCTCTTCTCTGAGCTTCATACTAGTCACGCAGTAGTAACTTTAGCAGTGCATGGCCTCTGATTGGTCGATCAGTACACTGGCATAAGATATTTATGTTTTGTAATTTTTTTATATTAATTTGAGACTTTGATAAAATAAATTACACGATTTCTAAATAAAAGCAATATTACATTTCAAATTTTTCTAAATGAATAAATGTGTCACAAATTATCTTAGATAAATGTTAGCTACTAAAATAAACTGGATTCTGCTAAGATTTTTTTTTCTCTTTCTTTCTGAAGTTGTTCAATTAGAATTTTAAATATCTGAGATTTGTATTGGCTTTCAGGAACCACTTTGTCCTCAATGGTAATGTCAGCAGACCATGCTGGACTCACATTCACTCTATCACTGATCAGAACTGAGCCCACTTACAACCAGCCCATGCAGCAATGGAGCTTCGTTTCTGACTTTGCTGTAAGTTCAGTCCTATTTTCTACCTTTTTGTTTCTTTTATATAGTCAGGCATAGTATTGATAAATGTAGTTTATAGATTTTATGAATATTACAAAAGTAAACTGATCATAATGTGTGTGTGTGTAGGTGAGGGACTATTCCGGCACCTATACTGTGAAGCTGATTCCATGCATTGCTTCACCTAACGGGGAGTTCAGCATACCCCCTGTGTGTCACCCGAGGGAGCCCCTCACCTTCGACATGGACATCCGCTTCCAGCAGGTTGCTTTCAGATTTTCATTGACGTGGAATATGGAATTGACCTGTTTATCATTGATTCAACAATATGTATATATGTATGTATGTATTGTGCTGTTTCTCAGGTGAGTGACCCTGTAGCAGCAGAGTTTAGTTTGAACACACAGATGTTCCTGCTGTCTAAGAAGGAGCTGTGGCTTTCTGATGGCTCCATGGGCTTTGGAGAGGGCACAGACACTGCCTTCATGGAAGGTACAAGATTCCAAGAGCAATATAATATAATTCTTTAAATATTAGTTTAGGAGAAAATAGTTGAATTTATTATTCATTTAATCCCTGTATTGAGTGTGAAACCTCATTCTGATTGGTAGATTCGAACATCTATGGTCGTGTGATGGTGGACCCAGTGCAGAACCTGGGTGACTCTTTCTCCTGCAGCATAGAGAAAGTGTTCCTTTGTACTGGCACAGACGGCTACGTGCCAAAGTACAATCCTACCAATAAAGAGTATGGATGCCTGGCTGATGCTCCATCCTTGCTCTATAGACTCAAGATCCTGGTATGTATTTTTTTTTTCTCATGCCTTTCTTACATTACTGTACCTTTCATACAAATGTTCATTATGAATGTAGATCTCACAACTATGTGGATATTTATTTGAATAGAGGAAGATCAAAATGTCAATGACTTATAAGATTGTCCATGATAAAGAAAAAATATTTTATATTTTATACAATTTTTTAAGTTTAAAATGTGTCTTAAGAATGATATGTGGTTTCAAAAAAGTTTTACCATGCAAAAAAATAAGAAATCAGGAAGGGGGCCAACACTTTTTCACACCACTGTATATATATATATTTTTTATTTTTTTTTGCCGAGGGGTGGGGAGGGGGGTAGTTGCACTTTACAGTCTAAACTAAATTTGCCTTGTCATAAGGAGGTCAAATTATATTTCATATGTATTCTGCATTTTGCTCACACCAACATGACATTTTTTTTTTCAAATATTAATAAGCAATGATGCAGTTTTGTTATTTCCCCCCCCCCAGATACAGAACTAAAAACATGCTCATTATAGAAGAGGTGTTTTCAAGTCATTGTATGTAACTGCATGTTAATTAAATATCTGTCTTGTGTTCACTGAATGTATGAACTTGTTGGCCTTTGAACTGTAGGACAAAGCTCAGCCAGAAACTCAAGCGACCACCTTTGGAAATGTCAAGTTCGATGCCAGTGTTGCTTTAGATACCCCTGGAGCCTTGCCTTTGGTCCGACAACCTGGATCTGATGGTTTCACCCTGTCATCATCTCCCCTCTTCCAGGTCAGAGTTTCACCATGTTTTATAACCATAGTAAAACCCAAGTTTAAACCAGAATCTTGAGCCTTCCTTCATGTTTGATTCATCAGGTTGCTGCTGGCCGTGAATGGTTCATCCATGCCATCTACACACTCCGTTCTAGAGAGAACGCCAGCCGTGGTAAACGAAGCCTTGAGTACCACCACGCTATATCCTCCATTGCTGACTCTGGCACCAAATCCCGAAGTCGACGTGCAGTGCCTGACCCAGAAGCTTTCGAGATCGGTGCTGAGAATAACCGAGGCACCAACATTCAGCACATCGCCCTGGATCGCTCAAACAGACTCCGGGTGAGTCAGCCATGGGGTCGTGAGAACTACCTGGAGCACCCTCTGGTGGAGGGGAGCCTGGGTAAGGGGCCTGGTTCAGATTCCTCTCTTCCCACTGGCATGTCCACATTGCTGGGGGTGGCTGGGCTCATCCTGCTGGTATGCCTGGTTGTAGTTCTGGTGGTTCTCTTGATGCGATGCAAGAGGAAAGAGAAAAAGTACCCACCTTATTCCACTTCGTCCTGCACAGCGTACAACGGGGAGCCCATGAGACACAATGTGGACAGCTCTGAGGTTTAAACCACCCCTATTCATTAAGACATGCCAAAACTAACTCTCACCATGGTGCTCTTCTTCCCAAGAAGCAGCTGAAGTCGAGGAGGCAGAAAGATTCTGAGATATAAAGCCTCAGTTCAAATTTCTACATCCAAATGTAGCGCTCCACAGCTTCAATGAAGATATCTTGACTCCAAGACTCTTAATTTTACTTGGTCAAACAAAAGGAAGTTGCTTGTTGCCTTTCTCTTAAGATTATGTTTGAGCTTCGTAGTACTAATGTTATTTTAGCATGCTTCCATCGGTAGATCTGTGAACCAGAATTTATGGTGGCCCAGTACGTGTTGTGAGCTTATGTTTCCTTTTTTAATTGCGTTGTGTTGTGCACTACTGGGCCACCGTAAGAATTGGCCACAGTGAACCTGCTCAGACAAACAGAGCGAATCTGTGCTTCAGCTTGTGACAAACTCTTAATATCTGCAAATGTAACAAGCATTGCTCCATTATGGATAAATTAACTTATTTTTTTCCCCCAAGTTCAAAAAAGTTCCACTGTAAATAAAAATAAGGTAAATTCACCTTGGCATGAATGCATATGCTGAGCATCAAAAGCCTCATTTAGTTACCTTGGCAATTTGAACTTGTTCAAGATCATTGGGCATTTTTTTAAATTTTCCTTCAATATGTAACAGTTCTTCTTCGGAGTGTGTGTGTTAGATTTGTTAAGCAAATTGAAAGATGCAAGAACTGGCTTCTTCAAACGTTTATGAAATAAATGTATCTATTTTTATATGTTCCATGACATGAAATGCTGTGTACAACAGCACAGGTCAGCGTTCTTACATGACCGATGTGTTGCTATGCAAAGGGAGCGTTAAGTTTCAAAATATTAACTGAAGTTCGTAACTATTCAGAATGTACTTATTTTTATACCTTTTCAGGATGTTAAAATGTGGTTCAGAATCACACATTAATTCTGTTTGTACACAGCTGCCTGTTACATATCTGGTGTTAAAAGGAGAGGTGTCAACAAAAGGTGATCAAATACACCCTGATAAAACTTGAAAACGTTTGAACCACATGTACTTTTTTCATTTAAAATAATCATTACAGATTTACAAAATTAAAGCAAACAATGTTTAATATGCTTATTATAATCTCACACAGTTGCTTGCATTTTAGTTTTTTTTTATTAATTTTGTGGCTTCTCAATTTTTGAGAATTATTTAATGTCATTTTCTTTTTTGCTGATGAAAAAAATTCTGTCAAGATACTTGGATACTTGTCTCATTATATAGTGTCTGTTAAGTGTTTAAAAGATAAATGCCTACTTCTATAACCTGATTAGTTGAATTTCTATCATTCAACTGACATAAGATCCATCAAATGTGCATGATCTGTAAGATGTTCCAGTATGTTCCTAGACGGTAAAAAAAAATCAAGTTCAAACAAACTGCTTTGGTAAATGAGCTGTTGTTGCAGTTGCGGCTCACTTACATGCACAGATATCTATCAGGACACCATTTATGATTTAATATTAACCCATGATGTTCTATGCAATTGAAATTGCAGTTCTGAAAACATCACAAATTACATTAGTTGCAATGTCAGCAGTAATCTCCTTAAGTATTATTTTTGAATGAGTTTATTTTAAAATGTACATTTCTTTCAGATTCATTAAAAAAGATATAAAGCATCAGGGTCTGAGAACTTAAAGAAAAAAAAAAAAGGTTTTGAGTAGAAGGGAAACAATATAGGCACAGCTTTGAATCAGAAGACATGCTTGAAAAGCCAGTATCGATATATACAGCAGAAGCCACCAATGGTGTTGAAACACAGCAACAGTGTCTTCTTGGCTTAAGAATGGTAGTTAGTAGAGCTATTTTTATTTTACACACACACAGTAAAGTTCTATGCTGATGTATTCTGAACAGATGTATTCTGACATGAGCTGAAATCACTGAATGGATCATATTTACAACATTAAAAAAAAGCTGCAATGGTAATTAGTCTCCAAGAGCTGTGGAACTCCATCTGAAATAAATTATCGAAGTTGCAATAAAATGCATTGATAGACCAGTCACACAGAGAATGAAGAAACATAATACAATTCTACTTGACTGGCTTTTCCGCCCCTCCATGAAGGCATCTCATATAGCACACAGCCTTTGTAATAACATCTTGCGTCGTAAGCAATTTTAAAAGGTTTCTATGAGAACATATAATTTGCAACACTAAAGACGTCATCTATAGCTGCAAAATAAAATAAAATAAATGAAATCTGTTAAACCTTTCAGTGAGTACCTGACCTCTGCGCTTTGTAAATTGATACCTTGCTTTGAATAAAAATAAAAACCAAAAACATAAAACACACAAAAAACAGAGAAATCTCTTCTGTTAAAAACGATCACAGTTCCTGATTCCATCAATGACATTTCATAGCTTCTGATACCATCTCAGACCGTGTAGACTTCTATCCTGCAGAATCCACACCTTAGCCTTAACATACTAGATATTAGATACAAATAAAGGAAACTTTTATTCACGTACATAACACTTTATACAGTCTGTCTGCTGTCTTAAATGCAAATGCAAACGATAATCATTTTCAAACAAACCAACCTTAGTAGATTTGCGGCTCAAGCAACTCAAAACCTTTTGATTGCACTACCGAATTATTGAGGCTCAAAATGATAAAAGAAAAAAAGAAGAAAAAAAGAAACCTAGATGTGTAAAGGTTTCAGATTATCATGGAACTATAAAAAAGAAAAAGAAAAAAAAATTGTAGGCTTCTAAAACACCCTAAAAACTCACCCTGGCAGTTTTGTGAACATGGAACATTGTTTTTTTTTTTTTTAAATAAAAAAAAAAGCCCTTGAGGACACACAAATTCAACAGACCTGATGCACCCCAGCCCATGGAATAATGTGCTTTATCACCACGATGTGGGAAAGACAATATCAAAAAACGGAAACTGTCTGAGTTGATAAGTGGGGGGGCAGTGTGTATCCATGTAGTATGAATAATGGTGCTCTGTTAGCGTATTTTTCACTAGGCTTTCAGCCAAAAAGGCTCGGCGAGTCCTTCAGCCCGTGTGCAGAGTGCGGTCCATCCTACCTGGAGTCTTGTCAGCTTATACATGAGGATCCCTCGGATCAGCTCTCCCCTGCGCGGGTGCTGTCGTCTAGCAGGAAGCAGTGTAAACTAGCTGATCTGGGAGCTGTGACCTAGGCGCTGTCACACAGCTGTATCTAAAATCAAATGTGGAGGCCGGATAGGAGGTTCAGAGCATATGCAGCGTCCTCCGTTCCTCGGCCCCTGCGAGTCATGACCTTGCAGAAAAGAGGAAAGAGATGGGTGTCATTTGGCCCCTTTGATGGGGGGATCTTGCTCCGTCGACTGCCGTTCGTCACTCCAGGCCTCACGTGTGCTCTTCAGTGCTTGCGTTCGCTGCTGATCTACCACCACATAGTCTACCCGCTCGTCTGATGCTGAAATACCAGTCCCATTACTCTTCTTCTGCAAGGCCAAGATATGACAGACAGTCAAAACAGGAGACAGAGATACCAAAAGTACCAGTATTTGGGTACCAATTTGATACTTAAAAAAATGCAACAACACTTTTCTAGTATTAGTGTATAAAACAGACTTTTCAAAAATGTTTATAATGAATAATTATGTGAAAAGAATGTTTCCTTTAGGGAGGCACAATGTATCGGTAAAATATCGGTTTTCATTAGCATGTGTAATTAATTATACATGCTAAATTACCCCGTTTTTACATTTAAATTAATTTTGCTGTCATGGTACACTTATATGAAGCTAATCTGTAAAAATACGAATAATTTATTAACATGTAATCTTTAGAAAATGTTGTGACTCCTAAATTCACTTGCAGCATTAAAACTATTGCTTTAATTTATTAGTATTTTACTTTGACATATGTATTATATTTAATTTTATTTTTAAAATACAATTTTACTTTATCTGTATTATAAGTAGGGCTGAGCAATATGGACAAAAAAAGATCACAATAATTTTTTTTATATCAGTTGATATGGATAAGTATCACGATAAATGTCAAATCTATATTTCTTTCAAGTTTAAAGGCAGATTTTTTTCTGAGAGAAAGTTGTAACCAGACAGTTAATAGTGGTGTGAACGTGAACATTTCACAAATCTAAATCTATTCAAAACATTTATAATAATACATTATTATTCAGTATTTTTCCATAACAAAATATCTTAATAGAGAAACTAATTTCTTAGTTTCTGCATGTTCTAACAGGTGATATTGTTTCAAACCAGGAAACAGGCTCCCTGTCCCTGTGCTCCCTGACCTTAATGGCACGATGCATGTAAATGACCATTAAATCCCCCAATCATTGAAGTGGGTCGACACCTTTACTTCCAGTCATAGAGGGCGGTGTTGCCATGGAATAGTCAAGAAAGGACTTAATTATTAAATCGAGCCAAATGTTACTAAAGAACTATTTATTTGTTTACGTACACGCTCTACAAATATACGTTTAAAAGGTTTCTTCCCATCTCTTAGCTCTTGGCTGATGAAGGGCACAAGGTACCGTTTTAATTTCGTGCTGTGTTGTAAACTTTGAAAGACTTTGAAGTGTGTATTTTAGCGATCTCCTCTGAAGCTATTAACTAATGTTTAGCGGGTCATTAGCATATATGCATGTTTCGAATATCAGTGATGACCATTTAATTTGCTAATGTTGTTATTCAGAGAGAGTGTGATTCATTGTTACTGTCTTAAGCAGAACACAGTGTATTATTACCTCGTCAATGTTATAGTTTCTCTTGGTTTGCACTCCAGACAGATCGTTTACAGTAAATCAGGTCTTTATTTGGTCATTTTATATGTTTTATGTTTTTCTCACTAACTTGATATCATCGGTTGTACCAAAATTAATTCATTGTTAACTCAGGTGTTTCATTTAGTTCTCATTGCACTCTAAAAGGACACTGATGTGAGTTATTGTCACACTATTTATGATGTAGGCCAATCAGATTGCAACTGTGTATCTATTAGTTTATAGGTTTGTTTTGGACATTTATTTATAATTTGCAGGAAGATGTCTAATGACACTGTTTGTTTGTTTGTTTTTATTCAGCTCTTAAAGTGTTTTTTGTAGATTAAACCCTTTGTAAACATCCAGTTTTAACATAAACTCCAGTTCCTGGAGAGTAAAGTGCATCTGTTCAGCTGGGAATGCTACAATGCAGATGTTTGAGTTAGGACTGTACTTTTATTAAAATTAACCATTGGCCATCCATAGCATCACACAATTAGATCGTGATAACCAAAGGTTTACCATGACCATTATCATGGTAACATGTAACTATATGGTCTCTGTGGTATTTGTATGAAAAACAGTAGCCTAAACACATTTCGTGTAAATACAAATGCACAAATGCTATTGCTTAATAACAACCATTACTCCTTTAGTACATTTAATCCATGTCTACATTAATAATATAATAAAATTCCATATTGCATATAGGGATGTAACGATTACCAGTTTGACGATAAATCGTGATAAAATTCCTCACGGTTAGTATTACCGTTTCATCTTTTAATTATCATTAAAACCGTATTAGATTACCGCGATTTGAACAACTCGCGATAAATAAATACTGTCCAGCATAAAGCACAGTTTTAAGTAACAGTCTCACGAGCGCACAGCAGCAGAGTAGTTTCGTTTTGAGTGAAAACAGGGTGGAAAAGTTGGGAGGTTTTAAAAGAGTGCTAAGGGAATTATACAAATGAATATATGAATGAATTAATTATATGAATGTACCTCTGAAGGTTCTGACGGTGTTCAGAAACGATTCGATGACATTTTGTTTTCATCTTTGCTCCATGTAATACCTAAAGGAAGTGTTCTTAATCGCAATACTGCTTTGTCCACGGAGGTTACGGGAAACAGCTCTAATTCAGCTTTTCCATAAGCGCCACCTGCTGTCAGCGAGTGGATTTACAGAGACTTATATTTACATTCAGCCTGTGTGCGGTTTCTGTCTGGCCAAAAACGGACCGAATTTGCATGCCCTGCTGTAAATTTTGACCAGTTGATGAAAAACAAGCTTATGTGGATTCTACACATTTAAACAATTCAGAAAAGTTATCTAGAATTATTTATGGAAAAAAAATACATATAATCATTTATTAATCAATTATCATTTTGACTTGTATCTTTTCTTTATTTAAAGTCTGAAATGTGAGGTTTACCTTTTTATGAAACTTTTTCAAAGCTTTATTTGAACATTTACATTAAATATTTCAACATGCTATTAAACTGTTGTCAGTCAAGTTGCCATTTAAAATCCAAACATCATTGGTAATGTTATTGTTTTGGTGATTATACAAACAAAAAGTCACTTTATTTGTTGTTGGTTGACTTGGTGAAGTGATTTATGTGTCAGTACTTTTTGAACATCTCCAGCAAATTTTAACAATGTCGTGATAATACTGATAACCCTGATCATTTTGGTCACAATAATCGTGATAAGAAATTTTCATACCATTACATCCCTAATTGCATACCCCTTATTTCTGCCACAATACCATTGTCCAGTTAACGTCACTACAGTAAATCCATGGTAAATCCATGGAAAACCCTTCTAACGAGGTTGTTCATGGCACAAAGTTTCTCGTGTGTGTCAGAGCTGTTGAGAACATCAGCATCACAGAGACATTTGTGCTCTTCACTGAATTCAAGCACTTCTTGCTGGATCTCACAGCGCACGTGATTGAGACTGATCAGCTAGTAAACGCATCTGCGCTTCTGTTTGAGTCAAATTGCGCTGTTAACGATGTTTCGTTTCACTTTTGGCACATAAACTTTATATCGAACATTCATCTAACATGTGTTACTGTTCTATTGAATGATTAAATATATATAAAATGTATATAAAATGAATACTATTTGTGAATATTAATATTTAACTTATTAAATAAAGGAATATGGGTAATTCCATTATTTAAAAAGCCAGTAATTAAAAGACAGTGATAATAATTTGGTAACAGAAGTAATGTTTCAGTATCTCAGAAACAGCTGACCAGGAATTGAAACAGCTGCCATTAACTACAGTCTCCTATCTGCGAACAATGATGGGAAAAACAATAATCCTCAACTGATGTATAGACAAAATGCATTGGTTACAAGAGAACCAAAAAACAACTATATTCCATCAAGCTGAGAGAGAAGCAGATTTCAATCCTGCTAATTAATGGCAAAAAAAGCTATAGCAGACATATAATCATAGAGCCTGAGGATAAGAACACTACACTGTTACACTTGTCTGACTCTTGGTGATTAAAACCACACCCAAACACATCCGTCCATAATATTTTATTGTACAATTTGTCTAATTCTGCTTAATTATTAGTCATATCTTACCTTCCGAGGAGGAGTCGATTTCCCAGGGTCCAAGTCGAGGTCCAGGTACTCCACCTGCTTGTCTCCTTTGGGCTTTACCATGGGACTGCCACCTCCATCAGCATTCATAGGTGCTCCTAGCTTCATGTTCTGAGATATATATATAAAAAAAAAAGGTTGAATACAAAGAGCTAAGTCAGTGGTCAATGTTGTAGTCAGAATTAGTTATTAAAAGACATATTAATCTACTACAATGATACTAGATGATTTAAGTGAAGAGTCAGATTTTTTTAAACACCTAATCTAATCTACCTATCTATCAGTGACATGCCGTCGCTCACCCAACACTCATTCGAATGATTAAATCGGTAATGAGTTGTGTACACATTATGTCAGCAAAATATGCAGAAATCGGTCTTTCTAAACTCTTTCAAATTAATCAGAGCTTCATAATTCATAATGATCAAATCTAAGTAATTAAAAATAATGCTCTATTAGTTCGAGAGGATTCTGCTACCCCTGCAGATGTCAATCCAACATCTACAAGTGTCATTTTCAAGATTATTTCCATGCATTTTCATAGTATGAGTCAAAATATAATAATTATGCATTGCATAAATGTAGTTTTTCAATACGTGTTTCAAAATATATCAAGCCTTATTTCATACTGCATTGTTTAGTAACTCAATACAAATCCAATCATCAAGTGACTGTCTGGGGAACAACACTACAATGTAATGCATAATGTATACAACTGATTAAAAACAACTTTAAAAAAATAATGTATAGCTATGATTATCATCTTTGAAAAATCTGGACTGGACATATACTGTATGCAAGACCTCTTGAAACTGCAAGTAATTTAAGATCCACTCATGTTGAAATAAACAGGATTTTTATTTATTTATTTATTTTTTTACAAGAAAAAAAAATCTCTGTCTAATGACACACATTAATGTTTGTAATGTTTAAAAGTTTGGGGTGTTTTTTAACGTCTCTTATGCTCACCAAGGTTGCATTTATTTGATCAAAAATACCATAAAAAATAGTAATATTGGAAAACATTATTACAAAGCTATTTATGCAAACAATGAAACATTATTTATAAACACCTATGATTTCTATTTCATGACTTTATCCCTTGTGAAAGGGATAACTGTTACACTTGTCTGACTCTTGGTGATTAAAACCACACCCAAACACATCCGTCCATAATATTTTATTGTACAATTTGTCTAATTCTGCTTAATTATTAGTCATATCTTACCTTCCGAGGAGGAGTCGATTTCCCAGGGTCCAAGTCGAGGTCCAGGTACTCCACCTGCTTGTCTCCTTTGGGCTTTACCATGGGACTGCCACCTCCATCAGCATTCATAGGTGCTCCTAGCTTCATGTTCTGAGATATATATATAAAAAAAAAAGGTTGAATACAAAGAGCTAAGTCAGTGGTCAATGTTGTAGTCAGAATTAGTTATTAAAAGACATATTAATCTACTACAATGATACTAGATGATTTAAGTGAAGAGTCAGATTTTTTTAAACACCTAATCTAATCTACCTATCTATCAGTGACATGCCGTCGCTCACCCAACACTCATTCGAATGATTAAATCGGTAATGAGTTGTGTACACATTATGTCAGCAAAATATGCAGAAATCGGTCTTTCTAAACTCTTTCAAATTAATCAGAGCTTCATAATTCATAATGATCAAATCTAAGTAATTAAAAATAATGCTCTATTAGTTCGAGAGGATTCTGCTACCCCTGCAGATGTCAATCCAACATCTACAAGTGTCATTTTCAAGATTATTTCCATGCATTTTCATAGTATGAGTCAAAATATAATAATTATGCATTGCATAAATGTAGTTTTTCAATACGTGTTTCAAAATATATCAAGCCTTATTTCATACTGCATTGTTTAGTAACTCAATACAAATCCAATCATCAAGTGACTGTCTGGGGAACAACACTACAATGTAATGCATAATGTATACAACTGATTAAAAACAACTTTAAAAAAATAATGTATAGCTATGATTATCATCTTTGAAAAATCTGGACTGGACATATACTGTATGCAAGACCTCTTGAAACTGCAAGTAATTTAAGATCCACTCATGTTGAAATAAACAGGATTTTTATTTATTTATTTATTTTTTTACAAGAAAAAAAAATCTCTGTCTAATGACACACATTAATGTTTGTAATGTTTAAAAGTTTGGGGTGTTTTTTAACGTCTCTTATGCTCACCAAGGTTGCATTTATTTGATCAAAAATACCATAAAAAATAGTAATATTGGAAAACATTATTACAAAGCTATTTATGCAAACAATGAAACATTATTTATAAACACCTATGATTTCTATTTCATGACTTTATCCCTTGTGAAAGGGATAGTTCACCCAAAAATGAAAATTCTGTCATCATTTACTCACCCTCAACTTGCTCCAAACCTGTATGAATTTTGTTCTTTTGCTGAACACAAAAGAAAGATATTTTGAAGAATGCATGTAACCAAACAGCTAATGGTGCCCATTGACTTCCATAATATGTTTAGATATTCCATAGGGTGAGTAAAAGATGGCAGAATTTTAATTTTTGGGTGAACTATCCCTTTAAAACACACATCCAGAGTGGAGTTCAGTCCACCTCACCTCATCCAGGTTGTCTAGACCTGACACTTCTCTCTTTATAGGAGTGATGGGAACGGTGCAGTAGAAGGACTCTTCTCTACAGAATGGAGGAACAGGGAGGAAAGGAGGAGTAGAAAAATCAAAGAGTAAACAGGAAACAAATGGCAAAGTCCAGCAGAAAAAATAGAAATGAAAATGCAAAATACAGATGAGGCAGACAAGAGGATCCACAAAAGAAAGCAAGGAACAGAATGTAGGAAATAAGAAACAGAAAAGAGGCAGAGAAATGTTTCTCCCAAGTACTGGCATTTGAATCCAGTTCAAAAAAAGCCACACTGTGCAGTGTTATCAATAACTTTACTGCTGGCATGCTAAAATGTTAACTAACAAAACAAGCCATGCACGAAAAGCTTCATATCAAGAAAATGGTGCATTTAAATTTAAGAAAAACATGAATAAACGCAAACATGGAACAACAAAGATGAAAGGCCCTTCAGGTGAAACCAAGGAAAAAATAAATAAAAAAAGAAATGGAAGAAAGATACAACAGAAATAGAAGAAAACCTGGAGAAAAAAGAAAAGTAAAGGTAGGAAAAGCAGCGAGGGGTCCTTCTATTCAGTGTGTTGACTGACCACAAAATACCACCACCACCAAATTTCTGGGAACCTGTAATTTAATTTTCAACCTAGCCTTTATGCCAAATTATGCCTAAAAAAAAAAAACTGAATAGATTAAATATATACGATGTGTCAGAACAAAGACAGAATGTTTAATTTAAAATGAAATCTGCAGAAAAGAATATGGAAGAAAATTAATAACTAATAACTTTAAAAAGTTGAATTAAAAGGATGAATTAAAGTGATCAAAAGTGGCAGTCGAGGCTTTTACGTTGTTAAAAAAAAAACTTTCTATACACCATCTGCATATTAGAATGATTTCTGAAGGATCATGTGACACTCAAGATTGAAGTAAATAAATAACATTTTGGACCACAAAACCAGTCATAAGGGTCAATTTTTCGAAATTGAGATTTATACATCATCTGAACGCTGAATAAATAAGCTTTCCATTCATGTATGTGGTTTGTTAGGATAGGAAAATATTTGGCCGAGATACAACTATTACAAAATATCTTCATGGAACATAATCTTTACTTAATATCCTAATGATTTTTTGGCATTAAAGAAAAATCAATAATTTTGACCCATACAATGCATTTTTGGCTATTGCTACAAATTTACCCCAGCGACTTAAGACTTTTTTTGTGGTCCAGGGTCACATATATTTAAAAAATAGTTATTTTAAAATGCAACAATATTTCACATTATTTCTGTATTACTGTATGTATATACTGTAATACTGTATATTTACTGTATTTTTAAATGCAAATAAATGCAGCCTTGATAAGCATAAGAGACATCTTTCAAAACCATAAAAAAAAATCTTACAGACTTCAAACTTCCAGCTGTTAATGTATGTGCATATAAATTACTTCTGTAATTTATATATTTTTAAAAAATATCTTTATATACATATATACACAAACTGAATATATTCCCTGAATGCACTAATTATTTATAACTGAGTGGAACAGTTGCTGTGGTGTTTTTTTTTTTTACATACTGGTTCATCTGTAGACATATTAGCGTGTTGCATGGTTACATAATTCTCATCACAGTCGTCGGAGTCGCTGCTGGAGGCAGTGCTATGCCCCGAGGATGGTCTGGGGGCCGTGGTACACCTAGAAGGGCTGAGGAGCAGGACAACATTTACACTGACGCTCACTCACTCACACACACACACACACACAAAA